GGTCCGGAATGGTGAAAATGTGCGATTTGATGCATTTTCGGCGTTAAAATGACCGCTATTCGGCTATCGTTAATCGGATCATGAAAAAAAATGCATGTGCATATGTCCCATATAATGTGTGATGTATGAGTGAAGTTTGAACTTAATCGGTCCATGCATGTTCGAGATACAGGTGATCACGGACGCACGGACGCACACAGGGCAAAACATAAGTCCCCGTTTTCGGACTGCGTCCGAACGAGGACTAACTAGCTATCAACCAATGTAACCAGCATGTGATCAACCAATGCAAGGAGATGGTCATCAACAAATGTAACCTGCTGACAAATGTAGCCAGTCAGGCATCAACCAATGTAACCAGCATGTGATCAACCAATGCAAGGAGCTGGTTATCAACAAATGTAACCTGCTGAGAAATGTATAGCCAGCCAGCCATCAACCACAGGGTTACGATACTGCTTCTGTTTACAAACTTTTACATTGAATTTTTCCAAGCACTGACACTAAAGGTTTTCTCAGCCTAATTTAGACAATTCTGATTTATTAACTAAAATTTGTTTCTACTTTACTTGCTTTCTTTTTGTGGTTGTGTTACGTTTCTGTAAAAGTACATTCATTAACATATTTTTTAAATAAAAACATTGTTTTTGGTACAGCAACCACACCTGTATCCATTCTAAATAGTGTTGTTAAGATTTCAAAAAAAAAAGATAAGAATAATAGAAATGTTTACCAAGTGGTGTGCCTGACTCCTTGATTTTCCGGACAAGGTACTGATAGGCTTCTAGTGTATTCAGTCTTGCCAGGCGTCCATCTTTATCGTTGCAGTATGTCTGAGCTGCCCCCGCCAACTAGCTGGACTGGTCACCAACTCATAGTCAAGTACCTGACCTGAAACCACAAATTATGGACACAATGTTCAACTTAAATGGTCTATATTACAAATTTATATATTTTGCTGAACGAAAGTTGCTATAAAATAAATCCCCCCTCCCACTCTGGTGACCATTTTAAATAGGAAATTTTAAATAGCTAACCTAACATATACGTATGACACACGACTTCAATTTTATGAAACCACAGAAATTTCAGAAAATATTGACTTTCACTAAGGACCTAGGAAGTTACAGTGACTTTCATTTGATGAGTATCTTCAAAATTGTATCATCAAGAAAATTGACGTGACAATTAAAATCCTCTTTCTCCTAAGTCTTATGCACTTGCAGGCCAGTCATTGACTGTAACACTATACCTCATATCTACCAAGTGTGACTTTGTTGCAACAAATCATTGTACTCATCATCTCCTAAGTCTGATGACCGTGCAGGCACTGTACAGTTGTAACATAATGCCCCTGGAGGGTGATGACAGCTGCTGACTGTGGTCAAACTTGGCTGTCAGTGAAGGTAAATAAACAAGCTTTCTAGTACATAACTGGCATAGTTAGCTTTGCAGTACGTTGGCCATGGATCAAATAAGTAAGTACAAGAGGAACAGATTTGGGCCGCAAAAAGCAATTTGTATCTACCACCTTACATAATAAGGAAGCTTAGACATGACTAGCAGAACTGGCTGTTTATCACTGCACATTCTACACTTTGTAGTGTTTATTTTTAGCAGAACTGGCATCATATCACTGTATTGAGTGTATATAGCATCATTTTATCTAGTTTTTATGCATGTGTTCGTATATATACATGTTATACAGTGTAGTGGCTTATATATTCCCTGTATTTTTATTACAGGGTTGCATGCTGCATGGTTCCCATCCTTACTATTTATTATGTCACTAAGAGAACTAAATTCATTGCGAATTACTGAGGAAGAAAGTGCTATCATTACAGGTCAAAGAAGGACAAGGTCTGGAGCAATATCAACATCAGGGCCGGGCAGTCACATACATTTTGATGAGGAAGGACAACAGTCTCCTGCAAACCCTCAAGACACTGATCAGGCATGTAATGAGGATGGTGAGACAGAGCACCAGGTAGAGACTCATACTGTTAGAGAAGGTGAGCGGGAAAGTCAGAGTTTTTCAGGTGACAAGGGTAATGATGAACATCCCCAATCCTCAGAACCAATGGATGTTGAGGAAGACGAGGGGCATGGGGATAGTGCAAGCAATAGTCATGCTGAAACTGTCACAAGGGGTCAGAAAAGATCCCGTCAAGAGGCCATGTCAGACAGTGATGATAGTACCAGTGATGAGGAGTACATGCCACACTCAAGTGGTTCCAGTGACTTGGGTACTACATCAGGGTCAGATGCAGAAATTTTCCCCTCAACTGAGGAAGATGAAAGGGAAAGACCTAATACTAGAGCATGTCGTCGTGCTAGAAATATGCCAAATTTTACCAGAATAGAGAGTATATGGGAAGACAGGAGGTATGAGGAACCAAAAGTAAGTGAGATTGACACCTGTGAGCCAGCAGATCCTGATGGGTGGACTCGCCGATTGACGAGACTTGATGTTGAGGAGTTCACAGGGGACCTCCCTGGGGCTGCTGTTTTTTTAGGGGATAGTGCTTCACCACTCAGCACATTTTATGAAATATTTCCACCATCATTGGTATCTAAACTGGTTGAAGAGACAAATAGCTATGCCAGATATGTACAACTCAGGAAGGGAGTTGATGTGAATTGGTCAGTGACCAATGAGGAGGAGATGAAAGCCCTGCTTGGAATCATGGTACTCATGGGCACTGATCCTAAGACTGAAATTGCTGACTTTTGGTCGCAGAATAGAGCACTGCGTAATGACTTCATTGCCAATATAATGAGCAGAAACCGATTCCAAAAGTTGTTGCAATATTTTCATTGCAATGATGCAGCTACTGACCCTGCCAACATCCCGGATGTCACTGAGAGAACAAGACAACGCAGAGCCCAACCCATGTACAAAGTAGCCCCTGTATTGGATGTAATAATGCAACGTTCAAGGGACTGTTACAATCTACACCAGCATGTGGCAATTGATGAATCTATTATTGCATACAAGGGACGGTATAATGGGATCCCCACAGTCTTCATCCAGGGAAAACCCAAAGCCAAAGGTTTCAAGGTATATGCTCTCGCTGATTCAGTAACTCAGTACATGTATCACATGGTATTCATGACTGGAAGCCATGACCATGACCAGCGCAATGAATCCAAGACACTTGCCATTTGTGTTGATTTGATTCAACCCATTAGAAAACTCTACCATACATTATATACTGATAGTTTCTACACTAGTATAAACATAGCAGAACATCTGCTTGCACATCACTATACTCATGTAGTGGGGAGTGTCAGACAAGACAGGATAGGGTTTCCTGATGCCCTTA